CTTGCCATAAATTCATAATTCCTATCTAGTTACTCGGGTCTCGTGGCGACCCGACTTTTCGATTGAACGGCTAGATACAGAATGTGTTTCCCGTGACCCAGGTAGTAGGTTACGTGTACTTGGGGAATCTTCCATTGATCGTTATCGTAACTCAAAATTTGATGGAAAATTCACATGATTTTTGTTCGCTGTAAGGTACAAGTGTGTCCCATCATCCCATGCATATTTGCCATGAGGTTGATATTGACATTTTCCCATGTGGGAACTAATCTAAGTGCAAGCAAGCATTAATGTCGACAAGGAATTACAAGCTGTCAAACAGGGGCTGGTAGGCAAAAAATGAAAGTGTGCAACGGTTTGTTTTTAGGTGTCTTAACACGCATAACAGGGGATGGATTCAAGGAAAGTTTTCAGGGTGTTGTGGCGTCTTCCACCGACAAGCCCAGCAGCTTCCTCAATCCTTGTGATAAATTTCCCATGCAAGCGCACAAACCAAATCGTCGTTTAATCGTACAATGGAGTAGGGATATGCAATCCGAATAGGCGTTGAAGAAATGACGGGATGTTTTCCTTCTTAGCAGGAACTTTTGCCGTTGAGTTTCGGGAATGCGCGACTTCTTTGCCTGATTTCTTTATTGCTATTGGTTCTATTGTCAATGGAGTCAAAACGTTACTTCGTGTGATTATGTGCCACCAGGGCGCATATGAAATTTACCTCGGTGGCATGATGGCATCGGACCTGAGTCCCAAAAGCTCCTTATGAATGGTTGATCATGAAGAGACTATCAGCGTAGTTGCGGCGATAATGTTGAGTCCATATCCGACAGGAAAAATGTAAGCTATAATAGTGGTTGTGTAGAGGATGCTTGAAAATCAAGATCCAAGATCGTCATTCCCCAAAGAAGTGTACCGTGGCCCCCCTTCCCTCCCGCTCTGACAGGTCATGTTGGTGTGAGATGACAATCCTCGAGGGGAGCTCATTTTTACCACGGTCTAATTCTCCGAGGCAGCAGGGCAAAAGGACAGCGTGCAAGGCTTTTGAAGGACCTTGAGGGTCTACAACCCCAACGCAAGCACCCCACGAATGGTTCACGATGCCGGTACTGGGCTCTTCAGCCTGGGAATCTACCATGGATTAGAATAAACTTAATAGCTATCAAGATCCATCTTTCCAACGTCACTTGGTGTGAGCCTCAACATCTATCACTTGTGTCGTGAACTCGGATTCTATCATGACTTCGCGTATAAACTTTCAGAATCAAGTGAAGGAGGTAGAAGAGATGGTTTTGCGCTGCCCGGGTAAAACGGTTGTGACTAGGATATTGATTGGTCATGAAGGTGGTCCGGAAGCTGGAAGGCATCTCCACACGAACTTGAAAAAAGAGCGTCCAAGAAGGAAAGAAAAGGAGATATTGGAGTGGGTGCAAATGCGAGAAGACGGCAAGCGAATTGATTAGCCAGTCTTATTGGTAGACGGCGAGACCGAATTTTGTGATAAAATTGCACTCCCCCTTCATCAGATGTAAACTTTCGGCATTTCAGTGAGCGGGTGAGAATTAGACGTTGCATGATTACTGTACCAGCTCACCGTCATTTTGCACATACGGAATTTTCCTTTGCTCATTTCTGTTCCATTTGCATAATGACGGAATTTGACAATGAATTGAAGACAGATATCGGTCTCCGGACTTTTTAGGTATTAGGAACCAACGGTCGAATGTTAGCTTCTCCGACTAACATGAGATTAAACCCTTTCCAAGTCTATGTGGATGTTTTAGTAGATTCCTAATCAGAGCTAAGGCTTTATTTAGTGCAGAGTAAAGCAGGCCATATGAAAATTTCTCACTGCTAGAATTCCTTCCTTTTCATTGTGATTTTATACAATCGCGCCTGAAAAGAGTAAACCATCGGCACAACGAATCATCACATGCTCTGAAGCGATTATACGTGATTCATGCGTGCGAATATCATCATGAAACTTATTTCCAAAGGCTCCTCCTCACGAACCGAAACAGACCAAATGTCACCACAGTATGCCAAGGAGGCAATTCTAACATTTTCATGCCATCTCGTACCACTCTATCCACAACGATTAGCCTTTCAAATCCTACCGGTGTTGATCACGTCTCTCGAATGACCGAATAGGGAATATCTCCGATGCAAAGTTGCGCGGCCTTTTGGTGGAAGAATCGAGCCGCTGGACAATCAACATGATTGTTTCGGATAGTGAAATTGTGGCTTTTTTGTAATTGGAGTCTGCAGTTCATACTGGAATCGTTCATGCTTATTACCGGTTTTATTTCGAGGAGCATTTGCACTTCTGATGGTCGAGTGATCGAAATGTTTGGTTTGATACTATAAGAGGCTTAGATTTGGATGATGGTGTCATGCACGCATACTAATATGCACTCGGTAGAAACTTTATCGAAAAGCCTTTCCTTTCTCACGGGTTAATAGATTGCGATAGTAATGGATTGTCATCGATGGCAGCCATTGATTGGATGACGGCTCTCAACTTTGCAAGAGCAACAGGACTCGATTTCAGATTGATCGATTGTGTCGGCATACTTTGATTTCAAAGATTCTTACCGTCTTTTGTCTCTTGAGTCTCGCTCGACAGGACAGGGCAGGTTTATTTGATGTACCGTAGATGGTAGTTGTAACTTGCAAGTTAGTTGTAACGCTAATTGGAAAGAGTAAGAACTTTCGCAAAAGTTTACAGGTAGCAGTTTATGAGCGTGTTGATAGCGAATTGCCCCTAATACTATTTCTTTGCAGTATGCTGGATGTGACTCTTCGTCCTTTCGCACTTACTCACTTCCTTCTTGATTCCACTCCCCTTGTCAACCAATTTCCTCCCAAGTTTATCACAACCCATGATCCTGACACCGTTCATCTCCATTTGCAATCAAGGTTGAAGCTGCAAACACTCCACAGTTTTACACTATTACCTCTAGTGAAGCGAGCACTTCTTCATCGTCTCTGTTCATCCCTACGTCTTCCCCTCAAATTTCAGCCCTCTTTGCTTTGAGCCCTTGACCTTGCTGGCCTTGCAACTCTAAACCCAAATATCTGGACAACAATCGATCATCCCAGTTTCTAAGCAAAAGCCCTGCACTGCACTTGTCATTTGTTGACAGCTACAACAACCCAGCCGTGTAAGTCAAGCTTTTTTCTGCAATCGACGACAAGGATCTCCATCACAAACGGGTGTAATTGCAATCCTTGCTTCCGCAGAGAACCATTTGGCAGAAAATAAATTATTGATCACCGCCTTTTGGGAACAGCAAAATTGAAGCTATTCGGAACGAATTGATGTTGAGAATTTGCCGCGTTGCGATTGTTAGCAGTTGTGGAATTTGATGTATTCACAAGAAGTTTGGATTGTGAGTAACTTCAATCATTCACTTGCGAATACGAACACGTTAGCTTTATGGTTTTGACTAATCATGATTCAATTCAGCACTTGGAGAAATACCAACATAGACATTAAATCACAAGGGCATTGAGGACCTACCTGCCCAATCGAACTCGTACCTTCTGTATTCTTGATGTAAGTTCTCCAATCTGATGAAAGGCTCCAAGACGGTTGAAATAAGGTTTTCTCCATAACAAAGACAACAACCTCAACAACTAATAATATTCTAACTTACTATTAGGTCAAAAAGAGTGAGGTCATTGCCCTCTGTACCTTGACACCGATACATCAATAGTTTTATTCACATACGGTCTCGGTCCTCGGATTTCGCCGTACAACAGTTTTTATCAATCATATCGAAAGGTGAGATGCAATTAATTTTTTCCCATTCTCCTACCAAATCTCTGGAATTCTTCAAGTGAAGTGAATTTGTCGAACGCCTCCACATTTGGTAAGAAGCGCGTCGCGGGCACATACAGCTTTGTTGGATTTAGCGATTCTTACCGGCAAACTTCTTGTATCCCATCACCTCGACCTCGCGATATTTTCATCCTTGTGCAATGTGCTCAGGTTACAACAGAGTCACCAACTGTACAACTCATCAACGTGGTATCTCGTACAAAAGAGAAGACGCGCCGTTTCGAACCATAGCGCAGAGGTGATTTTCTTGACCGCAATTTACCAAGCAAGATTTCACTTCAACAAAAACAAACTCTTCATCAAAACACCTTTCCAGCTAGACTTTTGCGATCGTTGGTACCAATCCTCTTAACTAGCTAGCTGCATGCGAACTTCACACAAATGCTAACCTTTCGTGTTACCCAGACTCGATCTACCAATATTCCCAAAGATTAAGATACCCCAGTCGACTACTACATACCCGCCCACGATCTTCAGCGGCAGCCATCCACCCCCGAGATACTCGACGAGCATAAACTGTAACCACTCACCTGGAACTTCGGTCTGCGTCTGCAAGTTCGGTTAGACCTTTGATTTCATTGGGACTTTTTCCAACATAAATCGAAGATATCGAGAGCAGGAAATCGGAAATCGGAAGATCGAGAATATAAAAATAACCATTGGGAAGAGCTAAACGTGGGAATCATTGCACGGCGCATTGCCCGCACACATCCACCTACATCCGCAATTAATCCTGTAAGTCGATTTCAATTCATCTCCCATCAAGGCATCCATTTTAAGTACAAGTCATCATTGAATTGCCATCGGGGCTTCTTCAATTATTTCCAAGATCTCTTACCACCACAAATCAATATTCAATATTTCACAGCTATTTCAAGGACCATTTTGCGATAAGAAAATCCATCGAGTGCTTATCGGTGAATGAGCAGGGCTGCCCTCCTTCAAGGGTATTATTTTACATGGGATAGCTTTCTAACTAAAATCCTACAGCAAAGAGGAAACCAACCATCCACCATCATTCTGCAACTCTACACCCCAGCGGTGCATATTGGCCGGACCTTCACAGTCACCAGAATTCTTTCGATAGGAACTCCTACAAGTAAGTGTTCTAGATTGAACTCTCTTCATTTTCTCCACCCCTCGATGTACTGTTATTGAACCATTACTGCGAGGTGCTTCTCATCCTTGCCTCTCTATCCACCACCACATATTTAGGCGAAGTGTCATCCGCTTGCAAGGCTTGTTGCAGATGACCAGCTTTATGGGCCTTGTATGGGTTGCAACCTTTTCCATATTTCTAATCACGATGTTGAATCTGGTCGTCTGTTGTCACCAATCGTTCTACCCATGTTTCTATAATATATCTGTCCATCCGCCCGCTCTTAGAAGACCTGGTATTTTACCACGGTTATCGCTGTGCCTTGTTCTTCCGCTATCAGCCTCACTCATATTGTTGCGTCATTATCAGATTTCTGGTTCATCCGTACTTTGTATTGTGCTGTATGCATGTAATTCATTTTTTCGCTGGCTTTCTACTATCAATACTTCTTGGAACATAACTAACATGAGAATCAGGTCCTTAAATTCATCACCGACTTTTACTGTCCTACCTTCGCCCTTCATTAACATTGTAAGTTTCAAACATAGTCTTTACGTTCTCAGCATCAAACTATCTCTCCAATGGTCCAGTGACTACTAGATGGATAAGGCCCCTCGCGTACCCAGGAAGCGTACCCTGCCAGGGAAACGTCTAAGTTGCGCCACCAAACCCTGCCCCGTCTGAATCCTCTATCCACACCAGCGATCTTGGGACGGGCATCGTCGGTCCGGCCCATATCGTATTACAGAACAGGCGCATCAGCTGCTCAGGTGTATTTTGGGCTTCTATCGAATTGCCTAGTGTTCGCCAGCCTCGCCAGCTCCAGAGACTCGACAGGAACAGAAAATCAATTGATTCCATTCAAAACCTGGTTTGAAGGTCAATTGAATCAATTATTGGTATCCAATTGTACTGATCATATCATCCTTTTCTGCATCTGTAACCTGTTGGGTTCATCGCAACTGGATCTCCGTACTCGGGAATTCACCATGGGGCAACTTGAATGTTCTCTTCCTTGCATAGCCTCGCACTATGGATACATTCTCTTTCGACGATCGCATTGAAGTGACATGAGACAATTTGAAATGAGGATAAAAGCTAATATAGAACTTGCAGAAAGAGCGATCTACACCATACACGGCACTCGTTTCATATCCCACCCGTCGAACGCGTCAACAAACCTTCGAAACTTCAAACCGAATCGTCCGTTACCCGTTAACTGTGAGTTGGACCCTTTCTCACTATGTTGCAATCTTGCACCAAGCACGGATGTTGCATGGCATCGCATGGCATGAATACATTGTTATCCCTTGCTTTACATAAACAACCATTCCCTAGTATTATTTTTCAACGGTTGTCTCTAGGTGGCTGGTATCTTTGTGGCTATCGATCAAGTGCTAACTGAATTAGACGTCATCCGCCAAAATGTCCCATCGTCAATATAAGGAAGAACCTGGTAATGCAGTTAACAATGAACACGTAAGTACACAATCTACTGTGACTTTGACATCGTATTGCATATCCGATGATCGATCATATCAAAGTTAATATTTATGCGCTGCCCTGTTTTTCCCTTTTGATATCTTTCTAGATTTCGCAAGTTGCACTTCTTTAGATAAGATCACAGGGATAAGCCTCCTCGCTCATAAAAGCAAGCAAGGAAGCTTGGCTTCCATAATTTTTCCAGAACATAAATTTAGCAGGACTCGAGTAAATTGTGGATTCGTAGGCTCGTTTCACAATTAACAAGGGCTCTTGTTTTCAGCTACCCAATCCCACGCGATGAAGGCGACAAAAGTTTAGTTGGTGGTCGAGTCTGTGTACATTTTCTGCACGGCCTTTAAGCCATTCGCTTGACGGTTAAGATCAGCAAAAGACAAGGTGCTTTTAATCTCTGACTGATTGTTTTGGGTTGGTGGGTGCAACCAATCAAGCCTTCATCTTTGATTGGTTGACTTGCTTCGAATGGAGATTGTAATGTTGCGCACGTATGCAGCTAAAAGTTTATGTAGATCAAAAGGTTGGTGTGTACAAGCGGCACCTGATGGTTTCTGATTTTTCATCAGCCTCTGAAGTCAATTTTCAAGATGGTTGTATGTTTGATTGGGTGCGAGGGTTAGTCCTTTTCATCTATTATATTGTATTGGTTCAAGTCGGCCGACGCAAAAACAAATATCAGGAGGATTACGAAAGCATAAGCAGGATATTCATACTAGGCTGCAGGAAGTCTTAAGGAGACTTTGGTATAGTGGCTTGCCAAGGTTACAACGCCGCATCAACAACGGATGGTGTCTTTTTATGCTTCCCTCTTCCATTCCACCCTAAACCTTCTAGTAATATTCTGACACACGAACTAAGAAAGGAAAGTGCCTTTTAGCTTTTTAGCTTCTCAGTCGTGAGTCGTAATCGTTTATTATTATTCGGTAGTAAGATTTTATTCTATTCATTTCCCTCCATGCAATTTGCACATACTATACATAACAATTTTCCCTAGACCACTCGCCTCATTCTCCCAAATGAGTCAAGTAAATTGGTTTTAGAAAATTATTATTATTTATTTTCGTATACTACTGCGCAAGTTCATGTGGCCAGCCCACTTTCAATTCTCAAGCTCAAGCCCAACATCCTTTGAAAATAGACTAGTTGCCTCCACTCACACACACCGCTGTCTTTTCAGGGCCAAACGAACCGAACCTGGCCCGGACCATTTTTATTTCAATTTTTTCTTTCCTTGTGCACTTAAAAAAAGATGTTATAAACTGTAAACATCAATCCCCCCACCTCCTTGCCCCTGGCTACTTTCTCTTCCCTAAATTCTATACCCCATCTGGTCTCAATACCTTGCAACGTCCGCGCACCATTTTACATTTTCATGCGATATAACCCTTGTCACGTTTATACCATGCGTTGTCCTTGGTTCCACTGAATAACTTACATTTCCGTTCCCCTTGCCCTCTTCCACATTTCTTTTGATCATTATCAAATCCATCTCATCCGTCCATTCGAAGCCCTTGTTCTTCAAGCTTAATCTTCCCCATTTCAGACCACTCAAATTACCCTGTCTATCTCCGGTCCTGCTTGTTACAATCAGCTATCTCATCAAAAGCTACTTACCCTCGTACGTTATCCTCGTTCAGATCAATCTTCTACCTACCCCATTCTGTTATTATTCTCCGGCTCCTTCGAGTCTTTATTCTTGCTCATCTCATAAGCTTTTCACCCTCGTCAGATCCACTACTTAAAAACTGGATCCTCGGACATTGCCTTCATCGCTTGTGGTCCTTGTCCACTCATCTGAAAAATTTCGTAATAGAAGCAAGGCATCTGTTATACTGAGGTACACCCTCGTTCTATTCCCTTGTCCCAGTCCCGCATCTAAAGATTTCTTGCTGTTTTTCTACCACTATTACTCTGCGCCGCCTGTCCTGTCAGAAGATCTCATTCCAGGTACCGCGCTGCTGCACTTGACCCTCGTCATCAAGGATCGACCACCACTTTTCATACATCTAAAGTCTCAAAAAATACATCGCGACGCGACTGGTTTTTCTCAATGGTCTCTACATTTTTGACGTTACATATATCATAAAAGTTGAAGAAATCATAACTAACAAATGGCATCAATGCAGCATCATCCCCACCACGCGCCGCAAGGTCAAGGTCCTCCACCTTCGCACCATCTTCAACAACAACCGCGACCTTCGAGTATTGTGCATCAGCACCATCAGCAAGCTCCTCCACCACCACAACACCCTAACGCGTATCCTTCTGGACACGCTTTACCTCAATATCCACAAACTGCGACAGGGCCCGGTGGTCAACATCAAGAACTTCCATATTACCCAACTCACGCAAGTCCTTACAGTACTCCAAGCGCATCGGGTACATATTCATCCGCAGGTGTGTAAACGCGCTTTTTCGACGCGTTATACCTCAATTGTAGACTAGATACTAATTTTCGCATAGGTCCAGAAACTCCAGACATCATGGCGGCCACTCAACATATGACCCGAGCTCCATATCCACCAATTTACCAAACCCCTCAATCCAACTCCCCAGCCTCTGTTGCATCGCCTGCACATGAGAACAGAATGTATGCGTCATCTTCACAATTGCAACAAAGCCAGCAGATGTATTACCCGGGGCCACCTCAGCAGCAATATCCTCCTCCCATGGCTCCTGGGGGACCTTCTCCATATGCGCAACCACCACCACCCCCGCAGCAGCAACAGCACCATCATCAGCAATCCATGACTTCACAGCCAACATTGCTCATGTCACACCAGACAAATCAGCACCAGATGCAACCACATCCTAATCAGCATCAACAGCCTGGTATGACTGGAAGTCCACGAACAAAGATGGAGCCACACGTTCCACAAATCGCTAGACCAAATCCACCTTTAGGGGCTCAGCATTCTGCGAACGGTACACCTCAAATGCAGCCCAACAATCCACCTGGAAATGGCGGCAGCGGTGTCAATCCCAATGCCGCACCGGGTCCAATTCCAGCAACTACCCCGCTTGTTGTGCGACAAGATAATAACGGAGTTCAATGGATTGCATTCGAATATTCGCGCGATCGTGTTAAGATGGAATATACAATCAGATGCGATGTCGAGTCTATAAACGTTGAAAACCTAGGCCCGGAATTTAAAACGGAGAATTGTGTTTACCCGAGGGCGTGCTGCAGCAAGGATCAATACAGGGGAAATCGATTGGTATACGAAACGGAGTGCAACACTGTCGGGTGGGCCTTGGCAGAATTGAATCCTTGCCTACGTGGCAAACGTGGATTAATACAAAGAGCGGTCGATAGTTGGAGAAACAGTAACCAAGATCCAAGATTGAGAAGTCGTCGAGTTCGAAGAATGGCTAAAATCAACAACCGTAAAGCGGTTCAAGCGGCTACAAGTCATAATCCTCACATGACCGGTCCAAGTCCTACAGGGATGCCACCTTCTGCGAACATGGGCCCTGGCGGTGCGGGAAGCATGGGCAAACCTAACCTTAGCGGTATGGGTGGTCCCCAGCTTCATCACCACCACGCCCATCCTGATGGAAGTAACCAAGGAGGAGAAGAAGTCGGTATGTTTCACCAGATGTGATGTGCGATTATTATTATTTTGTTATGATACCATTCTTGCGAATATACCTATTGATTGGGGGAAATTTGGGGCCTTAAAGTGACTAGTCACAAAAGCACTTTCATGTATAATACAACATTGCACTTTGCTTTCTGCCTTCTGCGATACCTACCCGTTACCCCGCGTTATGTCTTTGTATTATTGTATTGCTCCACATTGCTTGCTTTGTATTGTTATTGCTTTGCTTCCCGGATAAACCTGAGAGGCTAATCAATAAACCCATGTGTAGGTGACGACGAATATATGGATGAGAATACTCACCATCACCATCAAGCTCCAGTTGGGCAATCTGCCAATTCGGGAGACGATGTGCGACAGAACCAAGCCTTCCCAGGTTTCAACAATAACTACCCTTCGAGTTCAGTAGGCGGAGCTTCCATGATTCCTGGTGCTCACGATGCACGTCCTTTACCCCGCGGGTCCCACCCAATTGCCGCACAATCAAAAGATGATGAGGATGGCGTCGATGTTTTCGGTAATGTTCCAGAAGCAAAGAAGCGCAAGTTCATCTTGGTTGAGGATCCCGTTAAGCAAAGTCGTGTTCGTGTCCGCGTTACTTTGGATACGGTCGACATCAATGAAATTCCAGACTCATACCGAAAGATCAACTCTGTCTACTCACGATCTTGGTTCCCTCTGCAAATGCAATCGCCTCCTCCATTGGCAAACGGCAGCGACTTCTTTCAAGATGATGATAGCGATGATGAAGTTGAAGGTCGAGGTCGTTCTCGGCGTGGCAGAAAAATGTTTCCTGTCCATTTGCCAAATGGTGATGAGGCCGAAATCCCTATTCCAAGAATGCGCAAGTCTCAGAGAGCATTGGAAGTCAAGCTTAATGATTTAGGTTACAGGATGACATGGCATCAAAGCAGAACCTTCGCGAACAAGTCGGTTTTCTTACAAAAAGCTCGTGAGTCATATCCCTGTCCTTTACATCGGGCCGGTTAAGAAATTGTTACTAATTAATTATAACAGTTGATGCATGGCGCAACAAAGTCAAGGAAAACATCGGTAATGCAGGAAGAGACGTCACTTCCATTCCTCATTTCGATACTCGCTCCGGCAAGCGACGCTGGTTAGAGAGCACCAAAAAGCGCGAGCAACAAGACACCGACCCTTAAACGAGCAGCTACAGGGTTCTAAATCCTCAGCATTACATTGTACAATTTCAATCCATGGCACCTCTCCCCTCGATGAAATCTTTGGTTGGAGAGGAAACGATCTACAAAGATTCAAAGTCCCTTCTCAACACAATCCGCAACTACTCTTTCGTGCTGAGGTTGCTGCTTTGATACACGCATTGTTCCGGAGGGCGAATTTATTGCGTTGCTCTTAGTTATTTGTTATTTGAATTTTGCTTTTTCGTATCACCAATGAGTCAGTGGATGACTGGGCGGATGGATGGGTGGGTGGTTGTTTGTTTTCTGTTTCGGAATCCGGCAAATCAGTAGTAAAATGAATATATTGGTTTGATTGTCGCGGGGCGAAATGAATGATTTGGGAAGGAAGGAAACGTTTGGTGCACGCATTACTTTTATGACATTGATTGGTTTTGGGGACGTGGGTACATAGATAGGGTGAAACGGATTGTTTGGGGAGATGCGAGACTGATTTCGAAAATGAGGGATGGGAAAAGGGTGGAGGCGGCCTTGTAATTATGCATATTAAGTACACACATAGATTAGGAATGAGCACTCTCGTTATATCGGGGCAGCTCGGTGAGAGTGTTCGCTTGTTTGTAGAGTTCACGAAAACAAAAGGAAAAATTGAGAAAAACACATTAAAACATGTTAAACACTTCCGGTTTCTTGTGATGTATGAAGTCTCCATGCATGGAATGTAGGTGTGGGTGATATGTTGTGTTTGAAGTGTATAGATGAGTGTGTAAGACTTTGTTGTGAAAAACTATTTAATGGTCTGAGAGAAGTGCTATGGTGGTGATATGGAAGTGTGTATGTAATTTGCTATGTATTGGTTTTTTTGTTGTGTTTTGGTTGTGGGTGGAAGGAATGATAGTGTATCGTGCTATTGATTTTGAGGGTTTGAGGGTTTGGTGGTGGAATGGGAGAATAGGGAGGAGACAGAGGTGAAGTGAAGTGCAGTTGCAATGCAGTTGATGGTAAGGCGATTGAGATTATGGGAAGAAGGAAAGAAGGGAAACGGGGAATGGGGAATAGTGAAACAGGGGGTGGGATGAAGATTAGAGGGTGAGAGAGGGTGGTGAAAAATGGGCGGGTATGGAGAAGCAAGGGGGGAGGGAGGGGGGAGGATGGGTTGATGGATGTGGTGAGGATGGAGTCGAGGTTTGAGGTGGTGGATAGATTAGGGGGATATCTGTTTGCTCAGGTATAGGTATACGCAGAGGTTTGGTTGGAGGATGGTGAAATGGTGAAGGAGTATGTATGTATGAGGTTATGAGTTTGGGAATGAACATTTTGAGAGACAGAGAGGAGGGCGGGAAGACGTTGGATGGGATGGATGGATGGAACTTTGAGATGGTTGAGGAGGGGGTTAGGTCATTCTTTGGAAGTGCCACCATGTCTTTGTGGTTTGCAATCTAAACTGATTTGTCTCTGGAGAGTTTGCAAAACTCGAAACAGCAAATGTGGTATAGCAACATCAAGTCATACAAATCACTTTCACTGGAATCACATCCGAGTTTGGTTTGTGATTGTTCACATCATTTATGCTTGTAAGAGGAGTAGAATCAGTTATTCTCGGGAAGTTGGGAAACCTCTTGCTTGCTTTGTGGTTGTTTCAAAACTTTTTCAGTATTGCTTGGTGTTGTTATGTGGGCGATTGGCGTATCGTAATAGCATGCATTGATTTACCAACAAGTAACTTTATATGGTGCCCTTGGCTGAAAGTTCTATGTTTCCTTGGATGGAAACATTGTTACTACCAAAGAGAGAAATTAGGTAGTGGTATAGATGAAGACTCAGTAGCAACATCTAACTAAAGTTCATAGAATGTTAGGACCTCAGCTGTTAATTTGTTTGTTCTTTTGATCATCTCAGGAGGTTGATCTCAAGGTGGATTGCTTCTACATACTGAGCAGCTGGTTTGCTAAGATAGTCCATTTACACTTCCTTCTCAAGACATGTGAGAACATGGAAATCTCATGTCAAAAACCTATCAGATTAAAACATCAAGCAAAGTAAGACAAGACAGACATAGGTATATAAAACTGCAATACAGCAGCTCCCTTTTGGTGGACTTTCCTGCCATGCCAAATCACTTCTTTGTCAGACTTCTGGAATCTATGATATAATTCACTTTTTTTTAAATAAATACCCGAAGTAATGACCACAGCGAACCAGTAAAACTCAATCATTTAGGAATTGAACTGGCCGAGTATAGCCGAGCTGTATGGGAGTCAACTTTAGAAGCTGTCAGTTGTAATCAGTGATAGATGGTGATCAACCTCGGAACACATGTTTTAAATTAACAAAGCTGCAGAAAGTGAATACTCTCGATTCAGTAAACAAAATAAGCCGGTATTGGGTAATCTAGTTGAAGAAGGGCTCTTCTCGATCTATAAAGTTCTCGAATTCCTACTCTTTCACATCTACAATTATCAAATCTGCAAACTATTACCTCTATAACATCAGACAAACTTACAACAAGATCATAATAATGTCTTCACCAGTTGAATTTAATTATTCCCTTCCAATCCAAAGAGACGATGGCCATGTTTACCACATGCCAAACTTCACCAGCGAATTATGGCTTAGCAAGAGCTAAAAATTCAGAAGTACCGGACCTGATACATGATGCCGTTGGGTATTTAACATCAGAGAGGATCGATCGATCCAGATGAACCGAATTCCACCGAACCAAAAGTCTTCGTCAACGAGAATGAGAATGCGTCATTTACAGCTCAGCAGGTTGACTCGAAGACTATCCAAGAAGAACTACCTAGCTTCGTTATGGAGGTATCTTGAAGCTACGAAAGATGTTCCTCCGTCGCGGAGAAGGCAAAGACTCTGAGAAGTGTAGGTTCGAGGAAATTCTTAGATCTGATAGGGGAGGAAAGAGTCGCACCTACACCATGGGATGGTCGATTCCGCCAAACGGGGATAGTGGCGGAGTTGCTACAACATCGAAGGGTCACGTTAAGCATTGCGATGAACTTGCAGAAGCTACTCAGTTGATTGCCAAGGTTTCACAGACAATTCATTCGATATGTCACTCCTGCAGAAGAACTGAGAGTACTTGAGTTACAGTCTGAAATCGATGTATCGTACACGGCTGGCGACGAGGAAAATAGAAATTTCTGTAAGTCCTGATCCACTAAGTTCATGTTTTGAATCACTTATATTTCTAACACATGTGTCAGCAACCATACAGGTCAACTACTCCAATGTGAACACAGTCTCTTTGTCAGTTGAGATGGGGAAGTCTGGATCGTTACACATAGACGCGAAGGATGACCCAGCACGGATGTCGGTGCTCCTGAACTTGTCCAATCTTGTTGAAGGATGCTGGCCTGGAATATTTACCATGATGTCACTTCGTGACTACTGGGTATTGCACCGTGTGATGCTCTAGTCTTCAGAGCAAGACATCCCCATCTCGGCATTCCACCAAGGATGATGGGAGACTCGCCGAGGAAACCATACGTTGCACCAATTCCGAATTGGCGTGGATGGACCCAGAGTTATACAACTATTCCAGGACTAGTCCTCGTCGCCTACCCGCAGAGAAATTTGATGAATCGTGCGCCGACCTTGAGAAGTTACAAGATGCCCGATCATTATAAACAAGATAATCCAATGGCTATCACCTTTCCTCATGGAGAAGCTTTCGCGCTTGCGGCATGGGGGACACTAAGACATCAGCATGAGAAGATTGCAATGCAAGACGCTTGGCATCTTGCTCACCGCCACAGCAGTGGGTCATTAGCTGTATTGCCGTCTGCCAAGTCGATTGCAAAACGGGAAGCGTGGAAAGACGAAGACGGGCATCTTGTTCTACCTCGCGTATCAAGAATTCAAACAGTTTTAGACGGGAATTCCGCACAGTCTCGAGACTCTGCTCAAGCGAAAGCATTCGCCAGACTTAGAGAGATTGCAAAAGCATCACTTTCTCAAGACTACTTCGGGCAACGATCGTCCACACACAGACGCTAAATACGTGAGTGTGTTGGGTTCTTCGCTTATTGAGCCACCAAAGGTTGCGCCAGGGAAGAAACTCACGAAGGCTGCCACTCATGCAATGTTTGGAGAGAACCCATATTTGTGTTCTCTCTGTGACAAAAGGATTCCAGATCCCTTTGCTATGAAGGCCCACTTCAAGACTTCCACAAGAATGACAGTGCCGAAGGGTTTGAAGCCGTCATGCCAACAAGAGACCCAAACCATCTCAAGTATCTACAAGAGGCAGGGGTTTTCAAGTCTGGCGGAGAGCTCCAAGAAGGGTGGCAAGCGTCGAAGAATGTCTGATTCCACGAGTGATGAGCCGCCAGCACAGAAAATAAAGGCGGAGGATCCAGAGGAGGCTATTGTGATTTCTGATGATGAGTAGATTGAGGACTTTGCGGTTACTTCTGTACAGCACGGGAGAAGTGAGTAACGTCTCCAGGAATCGGAGCCATATCTAACGAATTGTTTCAAGGATATGTAGATATTGCATAAACTGTGAATTACCCGGGTAGATAGTGTATCAAGTTATTCGAATTTCTCTATTTAGACTTGTCTTCTGTGAAATAAATGGTGAAAGTTTTTGTAGAGCATATAGTGATTCCTAATTCTCTCCTCTACTTCTTCTAAATCTTCTCGTTCTCCAGCTGTTGCCATTTCGAACTGATTTGTATCTATAGTCGAGGGTCAATTAGACACACTGCCGTATCAAGTGAAACTTAGGAACATGAATGCATTTCTTACTGTTCATATCGTCATGTGATTTCGCCATCAATGACGTACTTGCGTTGATTCCGTTAGTATCCATAAGTAAGCCCCGCTCAAGTCATGTTAAAAAGCTTATGCTATAGAGTTATATTGACTTCGTATAAACGGTGATACTGATGAATATCCTCTATATTAGTTTCAAGCTATCTTCAAATCTCATATGAAAAGCATGAGACTAGAACTCATAATTACTTGCGATTTATTATGATTAAGCATGTATAGTATCTGTTCTACTTAGATATCCCTAGTAATCTTCAATAACTTCATGAAAACAAATGATGTCGATACTAGACTCCGTAACATCTAATAGATGCTCGATTGCAACTATAGTAGAGAAATCTATAACTAATATTACAGACTTCTACTTTCAATCCTCTTAATAATTTGTTAGTAAGTGAAGTTCTCTTAATTTTACGCTGTATTATATTCATGCTCTCTACTCCCTAGTAGTCAAATTTCTTGATATTCGATAATATTAGCTAATAGCGTTCTACGTTCGTAAGAATTTCATAGAAAATCTCCTTAAAACTGATTTCATGAAATCACATCTCCTGAAATGACTTTATAACTCCTCAATTAAATTTCATACAGAATATTCCAAAACTAATCTACTAGTAGTATTCATTTCGAACTCGGAAAATAATTCAGGTAACTATCATTAGTACAGATGACTCCTCTTTGATTACTCAAATCTTTCGAATGATTTAGCCGAAAATATTTACTTCGCTTAATTCTACCAGATTATAGCTTTCTGAAAGATTTATGCCTACTTTCAGAAATAATGACTCTCACTAGATTCTTTTAATCTCAAACATTTTGATTTCTTAAGCAAAGTGAAACGCTATACATACCAACCAATTTTCTCAGACAAGAGACTTCTATGTTATTAGAATCTAGTTCGAATAGAACGCTAATCGATTTAAATCCTCAGAATGCTTCGAAACAATCGAGAGTAAAGAAACTTATCAACTAGTCCTCTTAGCTAGGAACTATAAATGCTTGCATCTGAGTGTACTACGTCGAAAGTTAGTATCTAATTGAAGAATTCCAAGATCAAGATCTTGTAATACAATGACAAATATATATTTCCAGTCATTTCGCTATGTGCATACTACGAAATGAACTCAGCTAGCCATAAAATAATCTTGCTCATTGACTATATAAAGGCTGTGATCTTAAAATTAGATAGGAAATTACGAGATGTATTCCATGTCTAGATATGCACGTACTTTTCGCAGATTAAGTCAACAATGATGGTTCGGAGTACATATCTCCTCTAATTCTGAAACTCTGAGTAGTCACTAAACTTGATTTCCAGTCAAGTACTCTTCGTCTTAAACTGATTCTTCACTGAGAAGCTTTCGCGATTCCGAGAATTATTCAGATCTCGAGAAGCAGAGACAAATACTTCTTCGTTCAGTAACAATCAGTAGCCATCCATTGATCCGGATTTTCAAGATACAGAATACACAGTTCTATCCAGATCCATAAATGAATTACTCAACGGTGCACCATTTGTGAAACTCCACTCTTCAGTCTCCTTTCCAAGAATGATGAATCTCATATCAGAGTTTTCCGAGAAAAATTGGCTGTGGATGACCGGCTACCGTCCCATCTCGACAAATTGACCGTATCTAGTTCACGCGAATCTATTGAACATTAGGTTTATAAGCAAAACAATCTAGAATCTCGGTTTGACTGTATAGGCTCAACGCTAGTCGATCTGATCCAAGATATTAGTAATCAAAACAGCCTAGTGTCTCGCTTGTAGCTATTTTTGAGTCTCGCTTAACTTGAATTGAGAGAATCTTAAGCGAGAACACTACCGTATTGCAGAATTCAGCTGTGATTGAGTCTGCTGCCTAGCAGTGTGACAAACAACATCGGTAAGCAAGACAGATACCTTGTTCTGAGCACTTCCCATATCTCGCTCACGCTGACTGGTCATGTTGAAGAGTGTGCAACATCGCTACTGTACTTGACGCGCTGATTAATTCTAACGCGCGGTAAATTACCGTGACAAGAAAGTGAGACTTTACTGCCGTACTTTACAAGTCAAACCTACCAGAAGTCACGCTAAAAAGTGAAAAATCGTATAAACATCAAAAACCATGACCGTAAACCAAATATGCCTAGAACTGATTATCTAATCTTGAGAACCGTAAAAGTTCGCGCAGGCAGCGACTGTTTTGGTGTCTCAGATACCGATTTTCATGTGCTTATAAGGGCTTCTTATTCCCACTCAAAATTTCTCTATCTTTTACTCGTTCTCAAACACTCTCGAGAAGTCCAAATAACATAAGTACCTCGAGTTCTCCCACCTATCCAACGGCATCGATTTTGAATTGCATCAAAAAAATTCAAATTCTACCAATCGAAACAACTCAAATTCCATCAACAAAAACATCTACGAACCATCCAGGAAACATCTCCGAGTCATCATTCAAGATGTCAGGTTCATTCCCCGTCGATTTCCCTGCCACCCAATTCACGTTCAACATGACAGCACCCACTACCAAGCAGACCAGCGCTCCAGGCAAAGTCGGTGCACCTGGACAGTCGGCTCTGAACTTAGCCGATCCCCTTTCTGCCAGGTTCAGAAATCTGCAGTTGGATCCAGAGCAACATGCACAGTTGGTCATGAACAATTTCGGGGATTTGCATTTGGATAGAAAGCAACCGGGCTCTCTAACTCCCGCATCGTCGCGCATTAGCTCACACGATGCTAATGAATTTGACGAAGACTTCGAAGAAGCCTGGGAGGAGCAAACTCCCAACATCAAAAATGAGAGCACTCCACCAACAGCCACTCTCCTGTCGGATATCCAACTTGCAATGCAGCAAGGGTTGATGGTCAATTGCATCAAGTGCAGACTTCCAAACACGTACAAAGTATCGCAAGTTTGGTTACCCAATCCCTCCCAACCAGAGCTCATTGCTCCCGATTCGGCCAATACCAAAAGCCATTTGCACATTGCCGCATGTGCCAAATGTTCTTTCGGAACTTGTTTGGATTGTGGTGTAGCTCCACATCTAAAGGAGTGCACTTTTTCGGATACCAGGGCAGCCTGGGAGGCCTTGAGCGCTGTCGACGATGCTGTAATCAACTTCCGGAATGAGTCACCACATCTCCCATTGACTCACGCAACCAGAGAGCTTCTTCCTGCTCTTTTGAAATGCTTGACGACACTCAACACTACCGTTGCCAGAAACGGAGCGATTACTTTCGGATTCGACCAGCTTCTCCGCAAGAGTATGCTTCTCGATCTAGTTGCGGATTTTATGAGAGGCATGACTGCCCAGACCATGGAACTAACTCCACTACTCGTTCAAGTATTGGAGTTCTTACACATGTTGGCCGAAAACGCCGGAACGAGAAAGTTGTTCTTCGAAAAACGACAAGTATTGAAGACAACATCACCCGGTCTTCAGACTTTGGCTTTCCCTTTGGTACTGCTTCCAGTCCAACAAGTATCTGCATACAACTGGAGCGATCGCGAAGCCAGCACATACACTCTTTGGCCATTATTGCAAAAGTCTCTAAAAGCCGCCCAGCAATATATGCTCGAAAATCACGATGATGTTTGGTCTGCGGCTCTGGTTGCTCTCGCTCAGAGAGTTCCTGATGTCTATGCGTTGGTGGCAAGCTCGGTGCCACCAAAGCCTCTCAAGCTTACATACACACACTATACTCAACACGAGTTAGGATATGCAATCGGCCTGAGAGAACTGTTCACAGTTGCAGTAGCCAAGAAATCGGAAGCCAAGAAGGTAGCTGCTACCCAGGAGGATACCAGTAAGATGGAGGTTGATCCTCCCCTGAAGAAGCGTGGTCGTGCTCGTGTTCGGGCAGAAGCTCAGGATGTTGATGAAGATGAGGCCAGCAGGTGGGGAAAGAGAAGAACTGCTGGCAAGAGATAGTGGATCATTACCACAGGGATTCTCTTGCGGGGTAGAAGTTGAGGGGTGGAGAAAGACAGTTGGCTACAAAGCAATGTGTGGTGATAATCACTGGGGCTGTTAGGAACATTATTATGAATTTGTTCGAAATAAGGGTGGCTCATTAGGAAATGATTGCCGGGAATATGATTTCGGTTGAAATTTATCACTGCTCACCATTCTAAGTGGATGATATAACATTTCTGGAGACTATGTAGGAATATACATTAATAAACTTCACAAAATAGTATAGATGCAAATGAATGTGATCAAGTGAATGTAATAAAACCAACTGCTGATACCCTGAATGAGTATGAACGAAGTGAAAATGCTATGAATTGAAATCTTGATGTTATTATGGATGTGAATTAAAGCTTGCTCAATAAGAGAAGATTTAATCGCTAAAGTCATCAGACTACCGAATTTTTTCCATTATGTCATTTCGCTAATCTCGATTTAGGGCCAATTAGCATTTAATCGTGGAAACCAATAAGCATCATTGACTAAATACTAACTTACGTACTATATTAATCGTACTAGCAACTAGATTAAACTTTGTCGCGGTTTCGAATCATCGACTATAAATTGAAGTCAAGAAATCGAGTTGAATCAAAGTGACAACATCTTCAGATTCATGATAGAGTAATAGAGTGATGAGCGAAAGCTACTCAGGGGGCCAAGTATTCAAATGTGCAACCAAAGATGATAAATAGAACTAGCTACTATATCTGCAATTGCAGTGTTCATATGATCTTGACTAGATCCATGGGGATCCTATGATTTACAAAGGCAGCGCTTCTCTCACAGAGCATTCCCAGAGCGATGCGCTTGAGGCCATATTGAAATTCTGAGCGAAGATCTAGATGTTATTTTCTCTGAACAAATGTTTGCATCAGTCCTTGAATAACAGTTATCAAGGTGTCAATTCATGATAACATGTTTTACTATTAATCCTTCCATCACAGATCACATCCCCCCTGCTAGTCTAGATCTGGATACCCTCAAGTGACATTGAAACAAAAAGACTTGCTGATTCTTCGCTATACATCATAACAAAAATACCGAGGGGACAAAGCAAGAAAAAGTGAACCACTATCTTGCGCAGCAGTCAAATGAAAAAGAAAACCGAGATCCGAATCCCATGAACCCTACCAAACCAGACCTTTGTGTTGCTCTCTAAAGCGAGTGATGTGTACCTTCCAAAAGGGTCTAGTGGCTACAGTTAATTTTTGTACATCTAGACAGCATAACATTACAAGGGGAACGGAGTTTCGCGCCAGTGCCCGCGAGACCATTAGCGTCGGTAGGGGGTGAATTAAGTTAGAGTCAACATACCAAGGGTAATTGATTGAATCGTTGAAAGTGATCGTGACTATCATCTTGGTATGTAAGGAGGATGTTCTTTACCCAATTCCCCGGAACTCATTGAAAATGGGAATCGGAGAATCTCCTGAAAAAATGATTTCGACTGCACCTAATTTATCAACTGCCGCAGCGGGGACAAAGCTAGTAAAAGAATTGAAGGACTGGATTGCGTTATTCTCTAGGACGACTGAAGACAATAAGTGTAACAACCAGATAAAATCACAGAAAGTCATAATCAGCGATGAAAAACTTCGCCAAGGAAAAGTAATAGGCCTACTAAAGCTATCCCCAGATTCCAATATATACTGTCTTGGTAAATTCTGCCGCAGATGACAGCATGCTGACCACAGATATTCTGATATTCACCAAAGCAAACACTGAGGCTGTAGATAATGGGAGGTATGTACAATAAAAATTGTAGAAGAAAAGCCGAACATCATGCAATAACTGCACACTTATTTACTTTTAGCGCTAAACTCAAAGAGGCAAAATTCAGGAAACAAATTTTAATTCATGAGTACGAGCTACATACTTGGATCTATCATTGAATCATTCTTTGAATCCCCGTCGCTGTTTTTCTTTTCCTACAAGAGATCGTGCCATTGGAGACAACCAGATGTCCGGGCCCTGAACGTCCACAGAACCTCTGTTTGCTTCAATCGTGGCCTCGATTTCTTTAGCAACAACACGATTGCTACTAATTGTTGTCAATCTAGACGCCCATCCGTACAGGAACACGGACTGATTAACACCAGTCAAAACTTTTGAGACGTCATAAACGACGTTAGGAAGCTCGGATTTGATAATGGTTACATTCACATCAACTATGGAAATTGGTAACTGCCATTCCAGAGGAATGCTATACTCGGAGAGCTTCTGAAATTCCTCCGCCAGCTTGTCTCTTGTCGACTCATGATTGAACCCGAAAATTAGTTCCATTCTTTTCTTTTCGGTGTCTGTTCCAATTGTATCTATGATTTCTTGGGCTCTTGCGACTGCCTCACGAGTACATATGAGCTTTCTAGCACCGCATGCAGGCCAGACAATACTAGGTAAGAGCTGATCTTCGCTTTCCATTTCCATTTGTTTAATCAAAAAGCGATGATGCCAGTCTTTTGATTCAACTTGGCCATGTGAAAGACTGAATTTTGCGTAATTAGCAAGCAGGGAAATAGCTGACCGTTGTTCGGAGAAATGGGTGCACCCATCACGGGACACAATATTTTTTACTTACTCACTAATAAATGCAAATATCATCGTACAATCAACGTTAAGTGTTTCGGAGAATTTCTCAAATGGGTCTACTACCATACGCTGGAGAACTGTCGATATCTCAAGGCTTGTAGGAATGTCTTCAAATATCTGCACTGTAACTCTCAATTCCCGAATTTCTTGTAAAACACTAGCCACCTGCTTGGGACAATCTCGTGTGATTCTAGGAAGTACCATACGTACTGATGGGTACCGGTATTTGGTTCTGGCCAGTTTAGAAGCTTCCACGAGCAACTTGGCTTGCTTTAAAAGGCCTTCTGATTCATCGTCTGAGTCTAGTCGAGAAGAATTCTCATCTTCATCATCAGTTGAATCGTCTTCGGCCCATCCGGCCTTGGCTAGGTCAAATATCATCCTTCGAGCAGTAATTGTATTGACTTTGACCCATTCAAGATCCTCTCCAGCTACGACATCGACTTCCACACTTTTAATATTGCTCTGCGCTGAGAGGCCACCTCGTTTAGATTGAGCAAAGTTTGACCAGTAGTCCAAAAGAAGCGTTTCTCAGAGCTGTAATACCCTTGCAACCCTTTGCTGTATTCCAAACAGCGGAATAGAATGGAAAATTCGAAGAGCTAACTGTATGGGCGACCTTTTCATCTTCCGGGTCTAAGTTTGCAAGTCTTGTTAAAGATTTGATCTCAGATTGGAGATTTGTCGAGAAGTGTCTTAGTTCAACTGTCTTGCCTTGCTTTCGCTCTTTCAAAAGAGCCTTGAATTGTTCGAGTTCCGTCATCAGATTTTGAGATTTTTGAAGTAGATCTTTCACTGATCTCTCCGAGTTGGGCTCAGGATCTAACAATCTCAAAGCTTCCATACTCTCGGCGATATTCTTACCATTAAACGTAGCCATGGCGGGTAAGATACTCCGTGAAGAGTTGCTTACAGACGAAGGCAGTTTCTAAAGAGCGTCACGTGCACTGATTTAATGAAGCCACAAAAGTAAGAGGCGTATGATACAACGAGGTGGACTCAACGGTCTGAGTTTTCTTGTCAAAAGATATGTATTGCAGTGTAGTAGTATATTCATGCATGTTCAACCGGTGAGTGACTCTTCCCAAAAGAGATTGTCAAGACCAACCGGTTAAGTATCGGGTAATTGTACTCGTAGCCTTGCTTTAGCCTTACCAAATCTCCAAAAAGTCCGTCATCAATTCTACAAAAATTACAATCACAATTTCCTACGATTACAAATCCACCAATACTTTTCAAATTTCCCCTTCCCAATCCCATAAAAGTACATTACAACGCCTTGGTAGATCCAACTTCAATTTTACTCTCCAAAAACAAAATCGCGATGCCCTCCGACGACTTGACGAAATGGATAACCTCCGAAGTCGACTTTTACACGCTCCTAGGCATCACCCCCGAATCTTTCAGCGTCTCAGAACTCCGTCGCGCATATCGAAAAACGGCCTTGCTCTACCATCCGGACAAACTAGGAGATGCCTTCGACCCAGACAAATACGAACAATTCCAAGCCGCGCATGATGTACTCGCAGAACCAGAATTAAAACAAAAGTATGACAACTATCGCAATGCGCGCGTGCAGAAACAAAAGGCTGCTGCGTTATTTGAAGGAAAGAGAAGGAGTATGAAAGAGGACTTGGAGGCGAGGGAACGAGGGGGAAGCCTTGGGAAGAGAAGTAGAGAGGATGAGGAGATGGATGCGGAAATCAAAAGGCTTGCTGAGGAAGGCAGGAAGAGGAGAGCGAAGAGGCAAAGCATGCCTGTGCAGAGGGAAATTACGCCTCCGCAGAAGGAGAGCATACCCAAAGAATCAGACGATGATAAAATAGCACGCCTTGAACAACAAATCGCTGCCGCGAAAGCAAAGCGTAAAGCCGAGAAGAAAGTTAAATGTTCGACGCCAAATAAGACATTCAATGATAAAAAATCCGGCGATTTTGAGTATTCGACTCCACAACCGAAATTCAGAAACTCCAAGTCGACATCTACTCCATCTACAGCTCCACCTAAGTATTCCTTTTCGTCCGTTGGGTCAAAAAAGGTGGGAAATGATTTCTCGTCTACCATGGAGATGTTAAGAGAAGCGGGGAAGAGGGGAGTGGATGGGCCCAAATCAGATATGCAGTCCACTCTAGACACTTAATCGACTTCTAGCATTCTACGGAGTTCAGATATTTAGCGGCGTTCAGACATCGCAGGCGGAGAATTTTCTTTTTGAATTTAGCAAGGCGTTGGGGATAATTATATAATAATGATAATAAAGTAATGCCTATAATACATCTACGTCTCAATCCAAGCAGGAGGAAAAGCTCTGACCCTAATGTTCCTCGCATCTCCCTCTTCCTCATCCTTCGCCTCTACCACAAATTCCTCCCCGGCATCCACCTCCTTCCCATGTCCCTCCATCATCCACTTACCCATCTCGTCCAATCTTGCCAACCCCAAACCTACGTTTCCCACTCCACTCAACCATTTTCCCACCGGTCTCTTTCCACCCACCTTCTTGATATTTTCACTCCCTCTCAGATAACTCGCCAGATTGCCTCCTTTATACTCTAGTTCTCCTAATCCAGGCAAGGTTTCCCCATCGGGAACCAACATCATAGGTATAATCCTCTTTCTAATCACTCCTGTATGATGCGTCCTAATCGTCAATTCCTGACCGACATAACATCCCTTCCCATAATCAATACCTCCCATAACATCCACATTACTTTCTTGCGGTAGCGCACTCTCCCTCAGTATCTCATCCTGACCCTCAGGGACTCCAATCAGATATCTCCGAACTCTATATATTTCCTCCTCTTGCATCTTCACTTCCTCATCTATACCCTCCAAGTCCCGTTGTAAATCCAATCCCTTATCCGCCACAATTCTCTTTCCCATCTCGGGTGCCCGATGATCCGCAACCATAATACCAGTCCCCTCTTTCATTTCAACCCCCTCTTCAATCCCCCAACAACTATAGATCCCCATCTCTTCCTCGCTCACAACCTCAACCTCGAATTTCGCACGCATCCTATATCTCTTGATATGTTTCGCCAATACCTCCACTTCCTTTGCATCAACTTCAATCAACCAATTTTCTCCCTCTTTTCCCTTTTCCCCATATTTCCCTCTATCCGCATACAGATCCTTATAGATCCAAACATCATTTAACACCCTTCCCTTCGCATTCAAAAACGCAGAATAGAATCCCTTCTTATCCGAATTTAACCCCTCTTTATAAATATCATTCGTGATGACTCCTTGCAGATATTTCATCGAATCGGGTCCTCTCAATGAAATAAGTCTACGGGTCGAGAGGCGCGTGATGCCTTTCTTGGCTAACATATGGAAACCAGATTGGGATTGGGATTGTGGTTGTATTGAAGTTTTAGTTGAGGCGGGAAGGGAGCTTGAAGATGAAGTAGAAAAGTATTTGCGAGTCCTCGGTATCGCATGGGCGGAGCAGAATGTACATATGTATGCTGTTGCAGGAACAGTAATTGTTCTTTTAGACATGAGTTTTGATATCGGTTTCACGATGAGTTTCTGTGGGATTGTCATTCCAAATTATGGAAGTATAGCATGGAGTTTGGCAATAATTTTATTCGGATTGGAAATATGTAATGAAGCTTCAATTCAGGTTGATGTTGATGACGTAATAACGAGTTATCTATAGGCTGGTGGTGATTGGCTGAAACTTACAGCATCATATCTGGCTACGAGTTGGTGAGGGGCAATTACCTGCATAATCAATGTCACTATATTACAACCAAACATTACAGTGAACTCTTCCAATCAATCCATATTCACATACTCAGGTAAAATGTAGCAAACTGTTATGATTTTACTAATAAAGCAAGCAACCACATAGCTTTGGCAAATCTGGGTATTTGGATATCACCGAACGAATGCTCCGAATGCTACCAAATCCAAACTCCCATTGAAATGCCAAAACCATGCAAAACAAAAGATAATACAACCTTAAATGACCTCCTTCAATAACCCCTACTAGCAACTGCGTCTAAGTAATTCAATAAGAAGCCTTTGTCGGCTGGGGATATTGGTGCTTGGCTTCCACGGCGTGACGAGCCCTCGCCGTTTCCTGATGCCAGACTTCCGACTCTAGATCTGGATGCAGCACTTCTCGTGGCATCTATGAGATGGTTAGAAGAAGGTCCATCATGCGAAGATGTTCTAGACATTGAACTAGAAGCTGCCATTGGTGATTTCCCGAATACCGAACTGGCAGCGGGGGTAGGCGATTTCCCGAACAATGACAAAAGAGCATGCTTTTGTTCGGTTGACTGGGGAGCTTGGGAGGTAAAGGATAGTGGAGATGTCGATGGGCCGGCCAGATTAGATGGTGCAAGGTTCGGCGAATAAGCAGCAATGGTGGAAGCTCCAAGAAGTGGGGAAGGCTTTGACTGTATCGCTGTGGCCTTTTGAGGAATTGTGGGCTGATGAATGATTTCTCCGATGGGACCTCTTGCTACTGTTGGACATCTCTGATCTAGTGGCCGGTTTCTTGGACAACTCCCATATGATTTAGTATCTTTATTTCCATTGGCTGGACGAGCAAGGATTGACGTAAAGCTCGAATGGAAGGTTAAATTCAGGGTTCATTTCTGGAATCTCGTGACTAGCTCTGCCAATTGGAGTATTTTCTTTGGTAGCTGTTTGTCGTGGAACTTCGGGTGGCGAAGCAACTTCTACTGCGCTCAATTCCACCGCTGAAGGTGATTTGGATGGTTGAACTACAGCAGCTGATGCCGCAGCCAGCGTTGCAGGTTGAGCTGCAGGACTTTTGAACATACCCAATAACATCGATCGTTGGTTTTCACTGATGGGGGGACGAGCTGTTTGACTCTGACTAGCCGTACTAGGAATACCTCCTTTTATAGTAGGAAGAGACTTTGTCGATTGAGCTGCCTCTGTAGGAATATGAACAGGAATAGAGCGAGAACTTTCTCCTGGAAGCTCAAGAGCTTCAGGCAGCGTAGTATTCGGGTGCGGCTGAGTCGGGCCTTCAGAAATCAAAGAGTTGGAAGTGATATTTACATTTACTTCGTCGCGAGTCTTGAACGCGTTTAAAAGTAACAATGAATGACTAGTGAGTGCAGCAGCCGGTGCTTCCTTTGGTTGCGGTGGAACCATGGTAGAATGTACATTGGGAAATTGGGGAGGGGGCATAGGGCCAGAAGTCGTAAAATTGGGATGCGGAGGTTGTTGCTGAATATGCTGTGGCACCATTGTTGAATGTACCGGACCTCCGGTAAACAACACTTTCTGGGCATTGGGAGGGAGTGGCTGAGGATGAATCAAATTGGGTTGATATGGATGACGTTCTCGCTGCTGTGGAAGTTGTGGTTGCATATGCTGCGGGATTTGCTGAGACATATGTTGCGGAGCTTGCTGTAACATGTGCTGTGGCGGTTGCTGGGAGATCTGAGCTGAGAATTGATGTGACATTTGAGCTGGCATTTGAGCTGGCATTCGTTGCGAGATTTGCTGTGGTATTTGATGGCGATATTGCACATTGGGCATAGACCTTTGGTCAGAACGAACTTGGAGATCGGGTTGCTGGTAGGAATAATTATGCATTGGACGTTGCTCTTGCTGTTGTTGTAGTGGGAAAGTAGGTGGAGGTGGTTGATTTGAGATGTGTGAAGGGCGAGGTACCTGATGATGAGGAGTTTTAGGGAAAGGTATTGGGTAATGGTACTTTCCAAAGGTGTTTGCGGATATGGTTGAGTTGGTGGTGGTTGATCCGCAGGAGGTTTACTATGTAAAAGAGCAAGCAACTGTTGCCCTGAGCTATGCGAAGCTTGTGATTGCGCAGGGTTAATGGCATTGGGTTGTAGTCCCTGAGTGGATGGTTGAACTTGCATTATGGCAGAAAGAGCTAGGTCGGCAGCATTGCGTCTAGTCCGTTCAGCATCATGCGACACAGGTGCATTATAATTTATGCTTGGTTCAACCAGTTGATCATCCTCAGTGATGCCTTCATCGTGGCTGATGTTTCCTGCAGCTTCCAAGTGCTGGTTGTTAGCTGCCGTCCTTGCATCCTTTTTCTTTTGATCTAAGATCCACTTCTTAAGTGGAGGTAGGAATGGTGCCACCATGTAGAACTTGTTGGCGTTCGCGGCAGCCTCTGGTTGATTTTGTTGCTGCCCTTTCTTTCGATAAGCTGGAAGATCAGATAACCTCCACCAATCAATTTTACTAATTTCTTTACGAGTTTGTGCCTCGAAATAGGTTTCCCTAGGAACGTTTCTGAAAACGTATAATCTGATCTGTTGGCCATGTCCTGTAACATCGATGCCTTTGACTAGACTTCGATCTTTGGGAACGAGCCCTGACTGTTCAAGGTCATAACCCGTCTCTTCGTATGCTTCTCGAATAGCACATGTAAGGTCGTCTTCATCTTTATTAATCTTTCCACGGGGAAAACTCCAATTTGCACCCTTCTTCCAACCCTTTACAAGAACGACTTCATCCATATCCGCGCTCAACAGAATCACACCCCTCACTGGGACTCGGGTCTTGTATAGAAGAAACTCCTCAAAAGCTCGCATATGTATACTTTCTGAAAAGTTTGAAAGTAAAGGGCAATGTAAAAATATCTTGAGGCAAAAGTTACGAAGGGTCATCGAGGGTAGGCTTGGGTCCAGAGGCCGGATAAAATCTTCGTAGTACCATTGCGCTTCTTCGACTTGGAAGCATATTCGAGGAACGTGCGATAGATCAGCCGCAGGAATATTGATTATGAATCGAACACAAAGGTCGTCCAGCCCTGGAAATTTGGTATGTGGTCAGTCAAAGTATATGGGAATGAATATCAACATCGTTGAGGCTGGACTTGAACAAGGCGAGAGAGTTCTCGAATGAGAAAGATAGGAAAAGATAGAAGAGTCTACTTGACAAAGCTATCTTCAATACTTACAGTCTTCTAGCTGCAATTTTCTGTCTGTCATGTTGTCTTCGCGTCACAAGCATATCCACGACTCGAGTTTCTTTTCGGGGCGGGGGACGCGCAGAAACGCTTAGGCCAAAACAACCTAAAACCAAAATGATACAAATATGAAGACTTTGTGGCAAACACAGAGTAAATGGAATGATCTATCTGATAAGAAAGCTTGCGAATCTTATTCCAGTAGATAGGGCGATCACAAACTAACGTGAGCTTACTACTGTTGTTGAAGGTCGTGAAATGTGGAGTTGTGAGTGGATGAGTTGGTTGTTAATACGGTTGGGAATAAATAATGAGGCTGAGTCAAGAGCTTGATTTCCCAGGTGCCCAGGTGAAGCTTGAAACCGAAATAGGGAGCTCGAAAGCCACAATTTCATTTGTACCCAACGCCACATCTCCTCAGCCACTCTCTCACGTGACTCTATCTACGATACCTGAAGATAACTAGATCAAAACAAGTAAAGCTTGGACTCGGCAAAATAAGGTTTACTCTTCACTCTTCACCGGTGGTCCCTCAGATCTGCAGTTCTAGGTGTCGGATGACGTTATTTTGATACAGCAATACAGGGGCGCAGTCGAATCTTGGACAAAAAAGTTGCCAGCATGAAAGATAAATGCAAATCAAGCTTTATTGCAAGCTTTTAAGAAAGAGTTTATGGATAAGTAATTTAAAGGGTCGGTATTTCTCTCAAAGACATTTTCTGTTTCTACTCACTATTCATTGAAATCCAAAGACATTCATATTCATGCGTCAAACTGGGACAATACAAAAATAGTTGTTATCAAGCGCTTTCTGAAACCACTCATAATCGACAACCACCAACGAAACGAAGAACAAACAAAACTTACAGAAAACCCCTAATACAGCGGGCAAGACGTTTGTCGGCTCTCGGGTTTGAAATAACTTCTTAAAGAGAAGAATATCCTTCTCGAAAATCAATCAATTCTGCTTTTTAGCCACACTTACTCACACAATACAATTATGGCTTCATTTGCAGCAAAATTCATCAGTAAAAAATTCCTGGGGGAATCAGTCTCGAACAAGTTCGGATCAGAGGTAAAATACCAGTTCACAAAACGCCCATCTCTTGAAGAAATAACTTGCTGACAGCTTTTCAGGACTTGTACTTTGAAACTGTTCCTGCTTCTCGCTTGGACGGTGTGCCATCAAAAAAGAAGACACAAAAGAGAAGAAAAGCCATACCTGCTGGCATATCAGAAAAAGATGCAAAGGTTCTTACCAAAGTTAAGCGCCGAGCTTATAGACTAGACATGAGTCTATTCAATTGTTGTGGAATTAGATTTGGATGGAGCAGTGTCATAGGTCTCGTTCCTGCGTAAGTTCTATCTCTCCCCACGAAAAGCTCTACTGATAAAAAATAGTATCGGAGACGTTATTGATTTGTTCATGGCGCTTATTGTATTTCGAACATGCAGTCAAGTTGATGGCGGACTTCCAAACAGTGTCAGATTTAAAATGATGTTCAATATCGCGCTCGATTTTGCCGTTGGTCTCATACCATTCGCAGGAGATCTTGTCGATGCAGTTTTCCGCGCCAATACTAGAAATGCGCTCGAGCTTGAAAGACATCTGCGTGACAAAGGTGCGAAAATATTGAAGGCAAGAGGCGAAAGACTACCTGCCGTTGACGTTACCGATCCGCATGAATTCGATCTCTATGATCAGGAACTCTCAGATGAAGAACCTCCACGATATACATCCAGAGCAAACACGGAGACCGTCAGTCCTCGTGAGCCAGGTGGACGTAATCGTCACAGTTGGTTCGGATATGGCAGTAGCGCACCCGTAGAGCGAACGACACAACCTGATCCCGAACAAGGACGTCGTGTCAAAAGATCGGAGCGAACAAGACAGCCCGATGTCGATCAAAGTCGACGCGATAGAACAGACGCGCAAGATCCTCCACTTCCAGCTCGCCCTCAGAAGGTTAGGAAGAGTGGCAGACGTTAGAGGAATTTTGATTGCTATTTTGAGTTTGAAGGATGTTCTAGGAACGTTCCATATTTGAAGGGTCCTGGAAAGGTTCTAGGATGGATCGATTTCTTAATGCCGACACGATTCCCTTTGTTTGTTCAGTAATTGATGACGCCTTGGTTTGTAAGTAACAAGAAAACAGATTTGGTTTAGGCGCGGGGCTTTAGATGTAATATAAGATACCATACCATAGATACAAATTAATGAAAGTGGAATTCCATTCAATCTGATAAACATCTTAATCTCCACATCGTATTCCATTGAAGCCTATTCAAATCCAGATGTATTGATTTCTGAATCATCATGACTGATTTTACTCCACCCATTATCAAGACTTTCACCAATACTTCACGCGTTAACCGTGGTTTCCTATTGATCTTCAGGGATTAAGATCTGATAAGTTTGCTTGGCATTAGGTGGAACTCAATTGAATGAGCTGAATGGTTGATTGAGTGGAATAAGTGGTTCGGTGATCAATGTACATTGCGTTGCAAATTTCCCAGCCTTTTTTCAACGCGAACGCGAAACTTAGCGCGTTGATTATTTATGCACGTGACGCGTACCGAAAAGCTCTTAAGAACGCGGTTTTCTCTTGTTCATCCTCGGACTCATTCACATACAAACTTTCTATTCAATACAACATCTAAAGTCAAACACTTCTCGACCTCTTTCTTCTTACATATTCTACATACCAACAATCAAAGACTTCTTTACGTTCAATTTATTAAATCACAATGAGTCTCCAAGAAACTCCCTCAAAGACTGTAACGTTTTCACGCGCCACCCCTCCATTTATTTATTTTACGCGTCAACACTATACTGACTTGGAACTTGTACAGGCTGCCTCTGGCATCGAAAATATGAAGATGGAGTCACCCGTCAAGAAGATTAGCTTTGCAGGAAAAGAGAACTCAGCATTTGATGCTGACGCGCCAATTGTTGAAGAAGTCAAGAAGCCAATTGTCGAAGAGCAAAAGGTTGTTGCAGTTGCTCCAGGAATCAAGCCAGAAGAAGCAGATGAGCCTCTTCTCCAAGAAAACCCAAACCGTTTCGTCCTCTTCCCCATTAAGTACCATGAGGTAAGTCGCGTCTATCTCTTCACGTGTCAACGCGTATAGTGCTAACATATAATTGCGAACAGATCTGGCAAATGTACAAGAAGGCAGAGGCATCTTTCTGGACCGCAGAAGAGATTGATTTGTCAAAGGATCTTCACGACTGGAATGAGAGACTCAATGACGACGAGCGTTACTTCATTTCCCACGTCCTCGCATTCTTCGCAGCATCCGATGGAATTGTTAACGAGAACTTGGTTGAGAGATTCAGTGGTGAAGTTCAAATCCCAGAGGCTAGATGCTTCTATGGTTTCCAAATCATGATGGAGAACATCCACTCCGAAACATACTCCCTTCTCATCGACACATATATCAAGGAGCAATCCCAAAAGACATATCTTTTCAACGCTATTGAGACCAGTAGGTTACAACCATTCTCACTTCATGTGCGGTATTTCATCTAACATCCTCGATAGTTCCTTGTATCAAGAAGAAGGCCGACTGGGCTGTCAAGTGGATTCAAGACAAGAACTCCACCTTTGCTCAACGTCTCGTCGCTTTCGCTGCTGTTGAGGGTATCTTCTTCTCCGGATCTTTCGCTTCCATCTTTTGGCTCAAGAAGCGTGGTCTCATGGCCGGTCTCACCTTCTCCAACGAACTCATCTCCCGTGATGAAGGTCTTCACACCGATTTCGCATGCCTCCTTTTCTCCCATCTTAAGCACCGCCCATCCAAGCAAGCCGTTCAAGACGTCATCACCGAAGCTGTCGAGATTGAACAAGAGTTCTTGACCGAGGCTCTTCCTTGTGCTCTCTTGGGAATGAACTCCAACCTCATGAAGCAATACATCGAGTTCGTTGCTGACCGTCTTCTCCTTTCTTTGGGTAACGACAAGTACTACAAATCTGCCAACCCATTCGACTTCATGGAGAACATCTCCTTGGCTGGAAAGACCAACTTCTTCGAGAAGAGAGTTGGTGATTACCAAAAGGCTGGTGTTATGGCCGGTACTCAAAAGAAACACGAGGATACTGAGGCACAAACTGAGGCCAAGGCAGAGAATGGAGGTGACTTCAACTTTGACGAAGACTTCTAGATGCTGTCTTCAAAGTTACCTCTATTTTTCTTTTACTTTTTATGTCAAGATGATTGGCTTGGCGTTTATCTTTGTACAACTCTTCACTTCTACACGGGGCTTGCATACATAGATGTGTTGCGGGTTGGTGGTTTGTACAAATAGTTTGACATGAAGGAGTTGTGGTGTTGGGAAAACTTTGGGTCGGCGGCGGGCATGAATATGAATTTTTACAACAAATGTCATTTGGACATAGATGAGGGATTGATAGGGATATCGTGGTGGGAGTATACCATGATGGGATGGATGGATAGGATAATTGATGATATAACTAGTTAGCGTTAACGAATACACTTTTTTCACTCACATGAGGTATTATCTGCGCTGGCTGTGATGGAACTGTGATTCTCAACGGCCTTGCATCTGACTAGTTTTGGTATCATTTTCCTGGATAGCTTTTGGGATGTCTTGATATATCGAAAAGACGCGCATGTATATCTTCTATGACCATAACTCCACTGCCATCCTCGCCATGCAAACTTCCATAGTATAGGTACCTAATGTCCGCACCAGCACAACTAAATCCATATTATATACAGGTTTCCATCTCAACCCTCAAAGTTCGCCAAAGAGCAAGGGAGGATCCATTGACGATATGGTGATAACTGTTGTGATGCAATGCATGAATTTTATCTCTGTCGAGAAGAGAAGATGCAAAGTAAATGCGCAGACCTTTTACTGAATCAGCCAATTACAGATGAATCCTCTTCATCTTCCTCTTCTCCTTCACCCCCCTGAATGATGTAGTCTCTCAATTAACAATTCATTTCTTTCCCTTCTTCTTCTTTCCCTTTCCACCTTGTGGTTGCGTCTGTGTTTGCGCTTGTCCCTTTCCAGCATCTTTCTTCTCATCAACTTCCTCCTCTACTGGCGCCTCAGCCATGTTAATCTCCCCCAACCCCTCTTTCTCGTCCGTCTCGGGTAATCCGCACATAAGCTTTCCGAGTCGTCCCATGATTTGTATAAGGCGCGATACTTCTGCAGCTTTGTTGGTGGTGTATTTGAGGTTTACGCCGGAGTGGGGGTTGAAAGTTGTGAGGGTGAGGGTACCGCGTGGTTGAGATTCTGGTTTTACGGAGGTGGAGGGTGGGGAGGTCGAGGTCGGTTTAGGTAGGCGCGGTTTGGTGGCTGTGGAGTGTGTGGTGGAGGGGGCGTGGGGAGAGGAAGGTGCGTGCAGAAGGGTGTATTTAGTTGTTATGCGGGTCTGTGGGAGAGAGGGAGGGTTAGCTTGGTTGATTTGATCGGAGGGGAAGAATTGCGAGGAAGAGGGGGAACCGTACGGTACTAGGATGTGCTTTCAACAACAGCGAAGATTGTGTGAGCCATTCTTGGGCAGTATCTAAATGTGGCATTTTGTTTTTTCTTTGCGGTCGATGGACGCTGAAATCGAATGTATGTATTTGTAGTTGCTTAAATAATTGGTTGGTGGGTGGTGAACCTTGGTGGATTGGCGCAAGTTGTGACAAAATCGTAGGAGCTTGAAATTGATGAGCGAATCTTAATTGATCAGATGTTAAGTTCAGTTCAGGTGTTACTTAGCGTGAATGCGGGGTCAAGCGAGGATGTGAGGCTCTGCGGGCCGGAGATTTACCGATGGCATTCTCATATTTGGTGTGTGTGTTTTATGAGACTTCATTCAAGCTTTGGGTATCATGAAATGGGACGTTGAGATGCAACATGATGTTACACTGGTACTTTCAAGTAGGGATGGGAGTTATGAGAAGTCAATCCAGATATGTGCGAATCCACTAAGTAATCTTCATCCCATCCCCAAATTCCAATTCGCAAGCTCAATTGACTGAGAAATCAGAACGAATTATTGATGTATAGGCAAGTGCCCTGATAAAATCTATATACATAGTAGATCTGTAAACAGATATTGGGTAGGTGATATTGCAGTGTCAGTTTCTAAGACATTTTCCCATTTTTGTAGAAGCACGTCTAGAAGCTGCATCAATATACATATGCTTCTATTGTACGCAGAAACTTTCCATGACTGAATCCTCAGTCCAACAGACAATCGATCAATAAAGTAAAGTAAAGAACCAATTTATCGGTTTCTATATATCTTATCACGAACGAAGCGCTGGATTTATCTTCTTGATTTTAACAAAAGGATCACGGGGCAGCTCCTTCCAATTTGAGGACAGGATACTCTTTCCCAAAATGACCAGGGCAACGAACGCTTGTTCAACTCACATTTTTGATCTCACACCAAAACTCCCATAGACATCTATTGTTTCTTCTCGTCATCTATTCATGTTCTTCCCTTTTGCAAAAACTTTCTAGAGTTACACATAACACAGCGTGAGGCGGACTATTCTCCCATTCACATTGCAAAATCATCACTTACTTATCATATCATTTTGATCACAATTGAGTCCCAGTTAACATTCATTCCTCTCAAAAACCGGTTCTTTGTTTATCGTTCTCAACTGTTACGGACATGCCCGCTGCAAAGAAAGCAAAAATTCTGAAGTTGAATGACGAGGAGAAGTCAAAAGCTGACGTTCCAAGAGGCAACAAATTGACGCCAAAATTACAGGATTCTATTTCTGCCATTGACCCTAATGTTCAAACAAACGTATCTGCCGCGCCTCCTGCAGGGCATCAACTTCTTCAACACTTTTCTGAGGAACAAATCGCACTGGTGTTGTCAATCTTGAAATCAAAGCCAGATGAGATATCAATTGAAGGTACGACCAAAAAATTTCCATTATAGATTATGCTAAATCAATTTAGATTATTTGAATGAGTTCCGAGAATCGATCAAACTTGAAGAATCACGAAGTAATCGTATAGTCGATTCGGGGGAGTTTTGGAAACGACAGTTCGAAAGTCGGTGTATTCTTACAGATGAACTTCAGACTCGCATCGCAAGTCTAGAGAAGAGACTACAGCGCTGTCGTGTACCATCTATGACATCTTCATCTGAAGATTCTGAAGAAGAAAAAATCCCGAGTATCGCCCAGCGCTCCACCGAGTCTCACAAGGACCAACCTTTGAAGCCCGCCAGAAAGAAGAAAAGAAAAAGATATGAGAGTCTAGATACTGTCCCAAATGAGGACGATAAAATGGGAACCGATGCATTGGCGTTGGCATATAATCATGACCATATGATGGTTGCCACGTACTGTAAGTCACAATACTTTCACCTTTCGCTTCGGCGTATCAAGTCGTCTTAGTACTTACACAACTTCCTGCAGTATACAGAATCAACCAGATTCGCCGATCTCTTCACGCCGAATCGGCATCTGCCTCGTGTCGCAAGCTTATAGAATTGAGTTGGAAGGCAATCTCCGACTGCGTTCCCAAATATATCGATGTCAGTGTGACAAACTACCATACGAAAGATATTAAATGCCTAGCGCATCTTATGAGCGAGATTGTTGAGTGCTATAAGAGCTGCGTTGAGGTTTCAACTGAACATTACAAAACTATCGCGGGAAGGGAGTTGGTGAGGAAATCAAATATTATACATTCCTTGTGCTCTTTCTTCGATAAAACATTGAGCGAATTGGACAAGCTGAGCATTGCAAAAACCAAAATCCCAATTCGTTCTGGCGATTCGACATCAGACCGGGTGGAGACTTCTGCGGACAATGACGACTCCATGATGGTCCGCTTCGTTGCCAACCTTTTGTTCCGTATTCTTGGAAAAATTGCTTGGCAGCAAAATAATGACTTGCATAAACAGATATTTGAAGGTATTCTAGCTTTCATAATAGATCACACCGGTATATTGATCTCCAAAATCATATTCAGGGAACATGTTGCCGCTTCCAAATTACCAGGAAATATTTCTACTGGAGAATCTTCCTTTGATTTAACGAAAAAAGAGTGCGCTTTGAAGTCTAAATACCTGATTCGCCTACTTGAGATGGCACTCAAAATCCACGAGAAAAATATAGGTACTGGACCAACAGAAGAACTTTTGCAGAAAGCCAAAAGAAAAATCCAGAATACACTCAAGAATAGCATAATTGGAGGAAGCTTATTGGGTTTGAAGAAACCGGATCAAATTGCGGAGGAACCAATTGATATTCCGGGATTGGAAGGGTTAGAGATGTATAGTGAAGATTGGGCTATACAATGTGTGTTTACGATGATCGAGATAGATGAGAACGAGGATGATGAGGGAGTGAGAGTGGGAGGCAGTGGAGAGGCAGTTACATATTGAGAAGTTGGAACTGGGAGCTGAATTTGCTGAGATTTAGATGAACAAATAATGGAAACCATGGAATGGGAAATATGAGGGTATTAAAATAACAAGAGCTGGATTTAGAAATGGATGTCTGGATTGCGGGTTTGTGCTGGGCTATATATAGATTAAGTCTAAGGTATGACACAGAGACTCATGAACTGTATCTTGCTTATACTGTGGAACATTTTTGGAGGAATAATAATCTACGAGTAGTTCTTGATGATCTAGCAGATCATGTGAGAAAATTGTCAATAACTTGGATGAACATGATTTTAGTGCTGTACTGTGATATTGTTGTGTAAAATGCACGAATGAACATAGTTCAAGAAGATTGCATCCATTGAGTGGTAAATGATAGATAAATAAGAACCATATGCATATTTATCTGAAGAACGAGCTGGAAAAAAATCCCCCCAAAACCCAACCTGCTCCCTAGCACTCCCGAGTTCATCTAGACCCCATTACGCAGCGCAAGCCCCATCCAACCCAGCCATACCCTATCCATTCCAGTCCATTGCATTGCCGTGTATTGAATTTCCCCTCGCAGTCCGAAAGTTCCTAGAATTCGTCGATGCGTGTCATATCATATCATATCATATTACGCAATAAACAAGATTCGTTCCGATCCAATCCATCCTATCCATCCCATGTCCCTACCCATTCTGGTATACCCCAGCCCAATCCATGTCCGTTGTATCCTAACTCCTCAAAAGAAACGCCTCAATTCCCAGTCCACCCAGCTCTCTTAGCAGCGTCTCTAGCTTCCTTCTTTGCTATCCTAGCGGCTTGTCTAGCTTCTTTCTTTGCAGCTTTCTCCTCCTTTCTTGAGGCCATTTTCTCCTTCCACGCCTGAATTCTTGTCTTCTCTGGCTTCTGCGCAAGTTTAGCTTCAAGCTTTTGTGTCACTGCAGCTTTCTTACTCATAGCCACTGCAGCTTTACGTTCATATTCCTCTGCCTCTCCACTTTTTCCTTGCATCTTCAACCACAGAGACTTGGATCTAATTTGTGCCTTTAGAATTCCCTCATCTAATGGGTTTCCCATGTTTTGTAAAGAGTGCAATTGGTCCGCAATAGTCTTCTCTACACCTGCAAATTGCGAACCAAGTTCAACTGTAATGCGAGCACTGCGTTTGGCGGCCTCAAGAGTCATATCTCTCGCTGCATTAGTAAGCTGAGCGGTGATTGATGACGCTCGCTCGAGAGCTTGACGTTTGGCTTCGTCGATATTGGCGAGTTTCGACTGGGAAGATTGGCGTACATCTTTGAGAACCTTCTCAGCAGCGGCGCGAACATCTGCAAGAGTTTGACCATCAGCGATAACAGTATCATCCTTGAAGAATGTGTAAAATCTGTCCAAAACATCTTGCATGGCTTGAAGAGAATTGGTTCCAAAATCAACTTGGAAGGTCTCGTTGATGCGTGGCTTCTTGGTGGTAATAATCGAAATGTTGAGAATTCCATGAGCCTCCTTCTTTGGAATTAATAATACAATCCCATCGCTTGAACTAAAGGCACGCTCCGTATCGACTGTAGTATTACCCCTAGTGATGTTGATCGACATTGCCAATTTGGTGAGCCAGTTAAGCTTCATCGCCCGTGGGATTCGAATCAAAACTTCTCTGTCTCCCATAATCTCGGCTACACAGGAATTACACTTGCTTTCTGATTTGGGCTTCTGTTGTTGGGCGTGTGTAAGTTTCGAAAAGTCTACTTGAGGTTTTGAAAGTCCGTTCGGGGGCGACGACTGTACAATGGAAGGAGTTGAAGTAAGAGTGGCTTGAGTTGCAGAGAGATTGGTCGCAAATGGTACTGATGTTGGGGTTATGGGGCCCGCTGACATAGTTTTGCTGTTTATAGAGATTGCCGGCTGGTTATAAAATGGATAGGGCGAAAGGCTGGACGTGAAAATGGCAGTCAGTACGCTCAGGATGAGCAAACCAAATGGAAGTAGAGATCTCCACTCCGCTAAGTAACGGGACCATTCTGTATTGACTGGTTTCTCTCGATTCGCAGGAATCGTATAGGAACCAAGATTCTTGACAACACTAGGGGAACTTGCAGGCTCGTGCAGACCGGTCAAGTAGGCAAGATTTCTGTTCATTTGTCTAGCATCGATGTTCAAGAAAGACGTAAGATCTATTGGTAAACGTTGATGGATGATGCTTCCTCTGCCAGTTGTCTCCCGGGATTCTAAACACATATGAATAGAATGTTGATCTAAAGACATGCATTGAGCTTTGTTCAGTAATTGCTTGTGTGAGATAACAATCGATGGTATGGTATGACGACTCATGAACTTTCTGGCAATAGTTCTTGTGCGTCGTGCTTGTATATCGTCACTATCAGAACAGTATAATATTGCCACATGTGGTAATTCCCACTCCGGCTCAACAATAAAGTGATCTCTCTCTGGGACAGAATGGTAACTGTAGTGATCCTCGAGATTTAACTTAATGACATCTGGTTTTTGTGGTTGATCCTCGAATTCAAGGGTTTGAGCAGACAAACAGTCATCAACCTTGATTTGGTAACCAGACGAGTGCATGAGTTCGATTTCCGGTGTTTTCTCCGAGCCAAAAGCAGATACAGGCACCACATTGTATATTTGAGATGAGTTTCGACTTGAACGCTCTTGGCCTTCGACAGAAGCAGTGACTGAGCTTGCAATCTTGTGTATAATATCTTGTTTTGCAGAGTGGCTGCCTACATAGAGGATGCGGAGTGGGTCTTTAGTCGATAAACCATGCTTGGTCATCGTTTGTCGAATTGTAAGAATTAATTGACTGGGCGGATTTTGCATGTTCAAATCTCTTACGGAAGCGGCAGTTTGTTCTTCGGTGAACTCTGCCACTGTATGTTTGACTGATACATTCTCGGCCCCAAGGCTACCAAATGGTTCTTCAAATTCGATGGGTTGTGAGAGCGGGGTATCGGAATCGTCATGCAAGACAGCAGAATTGCGACCGATGGTAGGATTATTGAAAGAATTATTGATCGAGTTATCCAAACCAAAAGCAGGAATGGAGGAATCGTGTGTGTATTGATCCCCACTTTCATCACTATTCTCAGTATCTGCAAGGCTCTGCATATCGTCAGGACGACCAAATTCCACAGAAGCTATCGACTCGGTGGCATTCTCATCATGGCTCTCATCATCTGTATCGACAAACTCATAAGTAGATTCGGAGAGGTGACTTTCATCAGACGGGGACTCGCTGAGGGTCGACATATTGTTGTTGGAAGATTGGGTTTCGACCCAAGTAGTTATTCTCGTATCGAGAGACGGAGTCGGGAATCGAAAGTCGTTGGAATGTTCTTTGGGATTTGGAGATGTCAAATCTAGAGGCGGGAGTCCGCTGGATGACTCCATGTTATTAGCTTTTACGATATTATACCGGAACACCAATCTCGACAAAATGGTATGTGAAAGAAGGGCAATGTGAATGAAGGTGAGGGAGGCCGAATGAGTAGCATTCAAGGACACGGGTAAATAACAAGGTCGACAAGAAGAAGAGGAAGAAGATGACGAGGAAGGAAGAAAGAGGGAAAGTCCTACTTCTTATTAATCTGAGCTTAATTAAGGTAACGGATCCCCGAATTTAAAGTTCTATGGAGAAAGTACACCTAGTGCCGTAGAATAATAATGGGGAGCAAGAAAGTGGGAGGAGTTAATTAACTTGGGAACTTAGTACTTGCCGAATCGTTTGCCTATTGGCAAATCGAGGCAGCCCGGGCTTTTGGTTGACCGTAGAGATAGGCAAGGTGATCAGTTTAAGTTTTGGATGGTAAAATGCTATCAAGATGGGATGCAAAGATATTGTATGATGGTAAAATTCATGAAGCTTTTTGTGTTGCACCTCGTACCAAACATGCACGATGTCTTTCTTGAAGGAGACGATTTTTGCTGTAATGGTGTTGTTGTGTTGAATACAAGACGAAGGCGGCAGGTTTATCTCGTTATGATGGATTTTGGACTGATTAGGTGAGACCCACTAGTGTCAATGCGGGGTACCCTTATATCCTTATTACAGCTTTATACTTCCGTACTGGTGTACCTATGTATGTATGGTAAATGTGGTATGTGCCCAAGCTTTTTGGGTGGTTATCGTATATTGGATTACGATAAGCAGAATTTACTAGGTAGACAGTTAAATCCGTATAATACACGAATTATAACGAATTATGCCGATTCATTCAGCATTTCATCTCTCTATCAATCATCTATCCTTTCTTCACTTTGCTCTACTTCATTTCACTTCACTTCACTCACTCATCAATCACCTCACACATCCGTGCTCAAATGATTCATATTCATATCCATTCATATCCATTTGTAAGGCTACAGTATGTTACATTACCTATCCATCACATCACAAACACACGTCATCTAGCCTGGGTATGAGCGTGTTAGATAAGATGCCATCTATCTAGGTATCTATATTCTATGTTTTATGTTCACTTCCACTATTGATTTAGAATAAAAGGATCAAAGGATAGTTAGTCGTTATATAGTTATAAAAGACGCTACTGGTGCTACTTACTGGGAACTTATATACCTAGATAGGTATCTCATAAATCAGAATGCATTATCGAACAATAATAGACCAGTACTACCTACTAGGTACCGACTCACAGATACTTTTACCTCCCCAAAACGTCAGTACAAGTCAATCTTCCAAGGTTCCCTCTCTTTCCCAACTACCCTCCTTCAGCTGGTGAGCTACCCTCCTCGAACCAGTCATTCTCAATTATAACCTACTAATAACCAGTCATCCTCAACTACAACCAACTAGTCTCCTACATATCAGTGGGTCCTTCGGAACATACATGAACTCGTATTCATCATCTGATTCACATTCAAACCCAAATATTGGTTGATCCATATATCACGCATCTCTCATCCTCTAAGGATATCAGGAATATATTGATTTCTTATCGTCCGAGCTTGATGAGCGTGAGTCCCTAGTATGTATC